GAATCACTAATCGAGATGCATCGAAACATGGTAAGATATGTGACTTATAAATCAATTTTTTTAAAAACATTATTAATGAAAATAATCAGGCTTGCACATGAGGAAACATATATAATTATCAAAAGGAAAGAAAAATGTAGATTTTAAAAGTCAAGGCAAATCGATTATTGCGTGCATAGAATGTTGTGCAATATATTCATTCATACTCATCTTAGTAGTTGTTTTTATTGCAAATCCGTGACTCAAAACACTAAAAAGATATATATAGAACAAGTTGCCTAGCTATAACAACATGAGGTATTGAAAGGATAAGATAATAATTTCTTATTGATTTGATAATTTTCCCTAAAAGTAATGTGTACTTGAAGAATTGATTTTGCTCTTTTACAAAAGTATATAAGCCAAGGCTCAATATGTCAACAAACATTAAATTTATCAGTGCTACAGTAATTTCATTTAGACAGTCGAAGTAATGACAGTATCAATCAAACATCTCAACATAATGCTCTTATTAGACATTTTCAATTCAAATTTTCAAAATTTAAATTAAAAGTAAACGTATCATAGTTAAAGTACTTAAATAAAATTTACTGACAGATTTAATATATTACTTTATTACCTTATTAGAATCAATAAGATAAGATCTGACCTCTCTTGTACTTATTCTTGTTAATTTTTTTTTACTGACATATTTAATATTACTTTATTACCTCATTAGAATCAATAAGATAAAGATCTGACCTCCTTTACTTGTACTTATTCTTGTTAATTTTTTTTTTTACTGACAGATTTAATATATTACTTTATTACCTCATTAGAGTCAATAAGATAAAATCTGAGCTCCCTTACTTGTACTTATTCTTGTTAAATTTTTTTTTTAAGTAAACCACTTTCTTTATCTAGTGGTATAAAAAAAAATATCAAAGACAGAAACAACATAAAAAAACATCTACACAAAGCGAACACTTCAATTTACGCTAGCTAATATTACTAACGAAACAATAACAACATTATATTCAGTATAATTCGATTACTACCAACACATGACTATAATTATAAGTACATAATACTTTCAACTTCCAATATGAAAAACCTAACATAGAAATATTACAACACTCCTCCCTTACCACTTAGGCCACAGTATATAAACTTAAAAGAGACAAAATTAGAGGAGGCTATTAACATTATTATACCAACTTTTCTACCTACATAACTACATTAATTAATTAATTTAAGTGGTACTACACTCTGGAGGAAAACCTTGAGGAAATCTCTTATTATCAGTACAATAATTATATATCATGTATTTTTGTTGCACCCTTCTCAATTTTTCTTCATTCACAGGATCCAAATTTTCTACCATATATTTGCAAGAATTATTATTATTATTATTATTGCAAATATTGGCATTGAAATTTCTATAAGAGGCAGTAAATGGGGCTTGGGCCCAATCAGTCTTGATAAGCCCACCCATTGTGGCCCATTCATCAGCATTCCATAAACTTGAATAAAGTTTCATTGATTGAGATTTTGGAAATGCAACTCCTATGTTTTCCATATTCTTGAACTCCCTTATTGGTACATTGTCCACTGAGAATCTGAAAAAAATTACAATAATTTTTTCACACCGTCAGACCATCTAAAAGATAATTAGAGTTATTTATACTATATATTATCTGCTATGGCATATTAAAATATAACTTCAATTGTTAAATATACATTTTCATTGTAAGGTGTCCAATAGTTTCGATATTAAAAATTCACAAAACATAATTACAAACTTGAGAGACAAAAAAAATGACACTTCTCTGTCCAATCATAGTTATCCAATCATAATCATAGTTATGACTATTGACTTGATACATGCTTGAAAAATGATAGAAAATTAAAATAATATTATTATATTACCTTTTTTTAAATACATTAAATTTAATATATTAGAAATGTATTAGATATTGAATATGTAGTATCTAATAAAAAGGACTAAATAAATAATTAATTATCTCTTGATTTTTCAAACGTTTCACACTGGATAAATATTGCTGGACAACTGTTTATAGTATAATGGACAAGTAAAAAAGACGGAAGGAGTAAATAGTAATACATAACTTGTTATAAAATAAAATATAATATTGTTTTTTGAGTACTTACACAATAGTTTGTGGATTCCAAAGGATAGAATAAGTATGAAAATCATTAGTAGGATCAAACCACAAGTGAAATTGTTGCTCTCTTTCACCTTTGCCTTGTGTATACACATTTGTATGAAGTGTATATGGCTCACCACTCAAATTACCAAGAAACTCAAAATCTATCTCATCATGATTTGATCCTTCTGAAGACAACTAAATAAAAATAAAAAAAATACCCACATCACAAAACATAACAATTAACATAAATAACCAATTTTCTTGAATTTTTTTTTGTAAAAATAAAATAAAATAAAATATTACATAGTAAGCAGTGACAGTGCCAGCAGAATTTCCTTGAACTAATTTGATTTGCATATCAATTTTTCCAAATAAATATTCCTTCTTTGATTCAAATCCAGAACCTGAAATATTATCAAGTGTAAGAGTAAGTATTTCACCATTATTTAATATTTTCCCCCTTTCATTTCCCCATGTAATATCAAAATCTTGATTAAGATCATTACTAGCACAATATTCAACAACCATACAACTTATAAATACTAGTACTAAAATAAGTCTAATATTAAAGGAAAATAGAGAAGGCATTGTTATTTTTCGTGGATTTTTTTTTAATTTGAGAATATATTGAAAGTTGAATGAATATAATTTCCCTTTTTATAGTGAATTTTAGATGAAAAGAGACAAAATTGTGTCCAGAAAGGGTGGTTCAATGAATGCCATCTGAAAAATAAAGAGTTGGCAACAGCTTGCTATTTAGTATTTTTTAGTATATATAATGTAGCTGAGGAGATAAGGTAAGTTTGTGAAATATAAAATGGTTTAAATTTTCTAAATATATATATAGCTTGGTTTGTTCAAGATTACTCCAATGTGTACTATATTTTTTTTATCAATAGTATTAATATTTTTTTAGTAATTTATTATTATATTTTAATTAATGATCACTTATATTATTTGTGTTTGGATATTGTATGATTTCATTACCATTATACTATTTTTTTTCTTCCATATACATTGCTCTCTATCTAGCTCACTTTATTTTCGTTGTCATTGTTGTTGTCATTTCTATATTTTCAGAAATATTTTCTTTTATTTTTATAAATAAAATAGAAATAAAATATGTATACACGCTAATATTGGCCTGGTTGATAAAGTAAGAAGGAAGAATATAATGCTCCCTCGATCTTAGTTTATATAACTTATTAGTCCCAAAAAAAAATGATACATATTAACTTTAAAATATCCATTTTATCCTTTAATGAAACAATTTATAACCACACAAATTTTTATCATTCATTTTAGATCACAAATTTTAAAAATCTTCTTTCTTTTTTAAATTCTCCCAAATCGGGCGCCTTTTCTTAAAAAAAGACGTGTTTTACACTCTGTCCGAATAAAGAACTTCCTCGATTTTTAATTCCGTTTGAAACTGAATATTGATAGAATCAAACAACCTCACACAAAATAAAACGGAAGGAGTAATATATATATATATATATATATATATATATATATAGTAGTGGAAATTGGGAAGAAATGATAGGTTTGGTGCCTAGTGCCGAGTGATCACTTGATTACTCTGACTTATATTTCAGCAATATATGACTCATCAACAACATTTAGCTACGTGTCATCCTCTTGTGACCTTCTTGCTTCTCTTGATTATCATGTGAATGAATTATATAAAATTTAAAAATGATGACAAACATCTTTTTGTTTGCCTATTTCATTGGACCTAACTTTTAATAGATTTTTTAATATATAGTCTCAATATTTTCTTGATTGGACCTTACATTTAATGGAAATTCATGTGGTGAGACATAAAATATAAACATAATTCTTAACTTCGCTTCAATAGGTAATGATGCCTAAAATATTAATGGTAAAAATATGCATAGCCCTAAAGTATAATGAAGGATATTAGCATACCATTTATAATAATTTAGAGGTATATTTATCTTTTTTCCCAATAAAATATAATTATTAAATAATATATAAAGATAAAAAGGCCCTGATAATTGCGTCGTTGTGCCTGGACGTACTGTGAGGGCTCTCATCCACATGAATAGTTCAATGTGCTCATCGGGACCTGACCCTGAGACGTGGATCATTCAAGACACATTAGCATGGCGTACTCTAGGCCTCCTGTTCGAATCGGGATTTGAAACCAAACTCCTCCTCAAGAGGATAGATGGGGCCATAAATTGGGTGAGATCTAATGTAGATCCAACTTTCGATTCACTTGTGGGATTCGGGCGGTCCGGAGGATCAGCAATAAGAAAAAAAAAAAATATTAAGGTAATCACGCGATCACACAAAATCAATCATTAAAATGAATCTTTTTATCATTACACAATCATGAATTTAAATGATACAATACAATAATATTAAACTGACAATACAATACATGAGTAAAGTTTGACAACAATTTAGATGGATAAAATAGTAATTAAACGCGAAGTGTTTTTTGGTAATTATTTGGATTTCTAGCCGTCAATGCAAAATAGAAAAATATACTCAAATGATAATTTACCTATTAAAACAAACACATGTCAAAGAAGCTTTAACAAATTCTGAATCAAACTTCATTTATTACAAAACTCAAAGATAATTAAAAAGAAAAGAGACAAAAGAATTTCTATATGCCTTGCAATTGTCATATTCTTGTAACATTACATTTTATTGCATGATCCTATTTCAAAATTATTATAGATATGTGGAAATGAATTTAGTAAATTACAAGTGGAATATAATAATTAATTACCAACACCAATAGAATCGATATTACTCATACTCTTAAAAAATGTCGATTGCATATGCGTGTCAGATCTGACACGCATATGACAACATTTTAAAAGAGTCTGAAAAACTAGATTTAACTAGTCGTAGAGTTGAAAGTGCACTCTAGAGGAAGCCCCTGAGGGAACCTATTGATATCATTACAATAATTATAAACCATATAGTTCTTTTGCACCCATTGTAACCTAGCTTGGCTTGTAGAATCAAGTTCTTGAGAGAACCATGACTTTGTTGAATTTGTGCATGAGGATTTTCCAAATTCCCAAATACAAGCATTATTGTCTTTGAAATTTCTAAAAGAAGCAATGAATGGAGCATTGGACCAATTTGTTTTAATAAGGCCACCCCTTGTGGCCCAATCATCTGCATTCCATAGGCTTGCATAGACTCTCATAGGTACTCCACTTGACTTCATGTTTTTGAACACTCTTATTGGTGTGCTATCCACATAAAATCTACAAAAAAATAAAAATAAATAAATAAGCCAATATTAAGATAAAGTTTAAATTTGTAGAACTTTAGGGTGGAAAAAACAAGAGAGATCTTCATATTGACTTTGTATATTTTGAACTTTTGATTCTATTAAGTACTAAGGAGATACCCATTTTTTCTGTTTATTTTTACTTGTTCCCGATTTTAACAATAGAATTTTCAATTTTACTTGTCACTTTTAACATGTCAAGAAAATATAATTATTTTTCATGGTTTACCCTTAACACTATTAATTAATTACTGACAAAAGGGAGTTGATCAGATGGTAAGCATCCTGATCACTTCCAACCTTAAGGTTGTAAGTTTGAGTCACCAAGGGAGCAAAGATGAGAGCTCTGGGGGAAGATTATAAGTTTGAGTCACCAAGAGAGAAAAGATGAGAGCTCTGGGGAAGGTTATAAGTTTGAGCCACCAAGGGAGAAAAGATGAGAGCTTAGGGGAAGGTTATAAGTTCGAGTTATCAAGGGAGCAAATATGAGAGCTCTGGGGGAAGATTATAAATTCGAGTCACCAAGGGAGCAAAGATGAGAGCTCTGGGGGAGAGATCACTTCTCAAGATCTAAGACTATAAATATGAGTATTATAATAAAATATTTATATTATATTTTTTAAGAGACATGTAAAATTCAAAGTGGATAAGTAAAAGTATATGGAGATCTTTTATGTACTTACATAATTGTTTGTGGATTCCATAGAATGGAGTATGTATGAAAATCAGCAGTGGGATCAAACCATAAGTAGAATTGTTGTTCCTTGTCACCTTTGCCTTGAGTATACACATTTGTATGAACAATATAAGGATCTCCACTAAGGTTTCCCAAGAATTCAAAATCTATCTCATCATGTGTTGACCCTTGTGATGATAACTACATATAAATTTGATATAAAACAAATTCTTAGTAATAATAAATTGTCATATGACTTTAATTCTTGGTGTAGTTTAAATAATAACATAAGTCACGTTAACTTTAAACGTATGTAATACTTACATAATATGTAGTAACTGTACCAGCTGAATTTCCACGCACGAGCTTAAGTTGCATATCAATCCTTCCAAACAAATATTCTTTCTTGGATTTAACACCAGAGCCAGAGACTTTGTCAAGGGAAAGAGTAAGAAGTTTGCCATTGTTTAAAACTTTTGCCCTACCATCTCCCCATGTAACATCAAAATCTTGATTGAAATTATTAGAAGCCAAACTATAATGCAAAAAGCAAAATGCAAAACTGACTAAACAAAGAACTAAGGAAGCCATTAAATATTAGGTTCAATTTTAGTGATCTTTCTTGATTTGTTTTTCACAAGTCAAAGTTTGTATACATGTAACTTTGTATCCATACACTATATATAGGGATGAAAATTGTTAGAAATTGGAGGGGCCATTTTGGTAATGGAGTAGGACAGGTGGCATCCACTATAATAGTGGTGGGCCCCATGTATCTGATGTGGCTTAATTTGATGGTTTAGCAAAGTTCATAAAATAGTTTAGTCATCATTATACATCATCATGTAAACAAGCTACAAATTCTTATTCATAAAGTTGACATGGTTTTTAGACTTTTTAGTTTTCTTGGAGAAGATAAATTATTATATATTGTCTTGAGTTGGTTCATAGATTTTGAAAATGAGTTGATAACATTATTTTATCCTGTTCAGATCTCACTTGATAGGATTTCATTGGATATACTATTATTATTGTAAGCCTTTATAACTTAAAAGTATACTTTCACGAGAATCGTTATGAAATTGGTATAATTCATTTTTAATTCTAAATCTTGAATTTAAATCGTAAGAATAAAATAGTAGGGACTCTTTCTCCTTTAATTAATGTATAGTCAAGATTTACAAGTTGTAAAAACATTAACTTTTGAGGCTGTCAATAGATAGGTTGGCAAAACTAATTAAGTACTTATCTAACAAGATAAAAGGACTTAATCTAATGGCTAATATAACTCCTCACCTACTTTTCTTTAAATGTGGCTAAATTTTAATATTATGCACTGTCGTTTTATGAGAATATTACTATATTTTTAATTAAATTTTACGTTAAGATATATATTTCACATTTTGCTATTGGTATTTGGAATTCTTAATAAAATAATAAAAGATTATTTAACGAGTATTTCAAGTGAAACAAACGGGTTTTAGTAAGAAACATTTTATTTTATTTATGTAGAATTTATATTAAACACAATTTTAATTTTTAAATATTATATTTTGACTTTAATTTCAACTTGATATTGTATAAACATCTACAAAATGCTTTGAACTTGAATATATATACTCCAAGCCGTAACATTCTATATCTTTCATTTTTCTATTTAAGAGCCATATCACGATAAAACTTCAATTTCTATGCATCTATAATATAAACAAATATTTACATAATTAGATCATCTAAAAAAACAAAAAATTAATTTATAACACCGATATAATTTTTTACAAGGAACATATTTATGAAAAATTTAAAATAGTCGAACTTCAATAAAGATATAGAAGACTAGATGGAAAAAATAGTCTTCTATAAAATAGTTTTCTAGCAAGTGAGAAGGGGAAAACTCTAGGATATTCTATTGGCTCATGTAGAAAATTCTAAGAACCAATGAATAATATTTCCTTATTTTCTAGTACATTCCCTATTTTCTTTTCACATGTTACTTTCTAGTTGAAAAACCATATATTATATATTTTATATTTTAACTAGAAAGATCTTTTAATGGGTCAATGCAGACAGCTAGAAAATCAATAACTAATAAATTGATATTTAAATATTTATGCAATGTTCATGTTACAAAATATTAATGGTCAATGAAAACAACAAATTGTTTCTCAAAATAAATGATATAACTTTCATATGCGAAATATAAATTGCGTTAGCGCATTTTTAAAATCGCGCATCTGAATGAATACAACTTATAATAAATTATATTTCACAAATACAACGCGAAGTTCTAGCTAGGCCCAATGGCCCAAACTAATACTTAGTAACTTTTAATTTCTAAAAAGGGAACCAAAATGTTCCTTTTTTTTTCTTTTTTCCTAGGAAATTTAAACCTAAATTCAAAAATACAAAATATGTAAAAACCTTATACATAATAAACAAAAAATTATAATGTTATTGAAGAAGCTTGCATTCAGGAGCAGGACCTTTAGGAAATCTCCATTTATCGTTGCAATAATCATAAATCATATGTTTTTTCTGCAATGCTTTCATTCTAACACGACTTCTTTGATCTAACTCATATGTTAACCAAGCGTGGTTGGTAGAAGGAGAAGAGTCGATATCACATGAAGACGAGCTAGTTAATCTTGAATAAATACAAGCTTCATATGTGAAATTTTTGTAGGACGCTACAAAAGGTGCTAATTTCCAATTGGTTTTGACACGACCACCTTGTGTAGCCCAATCATCTGCGTTCCATAGACTTGAGTATAGTCTCATTGGTTGGAATTTTAAATATGACACACCAAATCTCTCTAGATTCTTGTACTCTCTAATTGGTATACCATCAACGTAGAATCTACATTAAAAAAAAGAGGAAATATCACATAAGAAAATGTATAATATTTTGGAAATTGAAATAAATATAGAATATATATTCCGATAGCTAGCTCAAGTGGTAAGGATTCAAGACTATGAAAGGAGATGAAATAGCATCCCAACTACCAATGTAGGACTACTTACACCCTACCCCTCTCTTAGCACGCCGAGGTCTGACAACTAAAATGTGGACAAGAGAATATGAAGGTCCAACATCAGGTGAAACAAGAATTGTGTTGATCTGATTATGAAATCATGAAAAATAATGGATATTAAGCGTAACTCAACCCCAAAACTAGTTCACGAGGTAAGTATTGATAAAGAGATAAATTGTCATCCCACCCATCGATATGAAAATGGATTGTGTAATTAACTAGCTTAGGTAAACTTTAAGGAAAAAAAAGCTTGAAGTGGAATTTTCTAAAGCAAAGTAAACATACTCCTTCTGTCCAACAATATTTTTCACTATTGACTTGACACACACTTCAAGAAACAATAAGTAACAAAGGTAATATTATTATATTATCTTTTAAATATATTAAATTTAATACTTTGAGAAATGTATTAGATATTGACTAGCATTTAACAGCAAAGGTAAAATAGACACAAAATGATAAATTATCTCTTGATTTTCCAAACTGAACAAGTATTGTTGGACAACTATTTTTAGTATAGTGAACAAGTAGAGATGAACGGAGGGAGTATATACTAAGAGAAATATAAAGCAAGAAAGTTGGTATAATGGATAAGTAAAAATAAACAGACGAAGCATAATAAAAGTACTTACATAATACATTTAGAATTCCATAGGATTGAATATGTATGATAATCTGCAGTTGGATCAAACCACAAGAAGAATTGTTGTTCCCTATTGCCTTTGCCTAGACTAAAAACATTAGTATGAAGAGTGTAAGGGTTCCCTGTTGAATTTCCCAAGAATTCAAAATCTATTTCATCATGCTTGTTCCCTTGTGATGATAGCTGCAACAAAGACGAAAAAAAAACATGGTAAGTTTGTACTGTTACTCCATAGTTGATGATCATATAACTCGAAAAATTATCCAAATATGTCATACTTCTCACATAAATTGATCGATAAGACACATTTCTGTTGATTGAAGGTCAAATATGCTTAGTCAGATAACAGAAGAACTAAAATCATAATATACCAATAACTGAAGGATCAAAAGTATAACATAATTGTTAATTGCTCCACTATGTAATTAATGATATGTTATGTTAAGTTTGTACTATTTCGAAAAAAATTCTCATTAGGTCATACTTCTCACATAAATATGGACCGATAAGACACATTTCTCTTGATTAAAAGGTCAAATATGCTTAATCAGATAATGTAAGGATCAAAATCATAATATATCAATAATTGAAGGACCAGAAGTGTAACATAAGAAAAATCGAGTTTTTTCAGGCAAAGGTAACAGATAAGGCTTACGTAAAATGTAGTAACAGTGCCAGCAGAGTTTCCGGGGACGAGCTTAATTTGCATATCAACTTTAGCAAAGAGGTACTCTTTTTTAGACTGAAAGCCTGATCCAGACAACTTGTCTAAGGAGAGTGTTAAAAACTCTCCATTTTCAAGTATTTTTCCTCTGTCATCTCCCCATGATATCATAATATGCTGGTCAAATGTACCATTAACTAAAACTACAGGGAGGCTGCAGCAAATTTTCACAAAAAAAAAGAAGAAAAAATTAGTTTGCGATACTAAAAAACCAAGAAAATTCAATTTTTTTACCTTATCAGTGTATATTAATTAAATTCTCTTATTTATTTTATTTTAAAGCGATAGAAGTATTGATAACACCTCTGAATTTGGCGTAAATTATTAGTTTCGTCCCAAACTATTGATAGTCTTAAAAATACTCTTTTACTTGACTAACTAAACTTAGATATACTCCTGATATGCAACATGACATATCAAGTGGTCTCAAACTCTTGTAGGAGCATACGACTCTTAATAAAAAGTCGAGAGAAGTATTGAAAACAACCCTAAACTAGACGAGAATTTAGGGGTGTATTTCACTCATATTGTTGCAAGACCGGGGTATATTTAAGTTCAGTTAATCAAGTAAAAGGGTGCTTTTAAGACTATCAATAGTTCGAGAATGATATTAATAATTCACGCTGAATTTAGATGTGTTTTCAAATACTTTCCTCTGCTCATTATATATGCCACATAAGTGGGTAGTTCTCTCATGTTATATTTGTTAATCACTATTATTAATGTCTTGAAAAAATGACATTATTTCTATACGTATAAATAATCTAATTTGAAATTTCTTATTTTACTCTGAATAAGATAATTTATAATCATATAAATATTACTAGCTCGTTTTATAAGAATAGCGGAAAAAGATTTGTGTACCTGTCAACAACATGTTCTTCTGGTGATTTTTTGGGGTTCATTACAATACGATTAGGAGTTTTTTCCAGGTTGCGACGGGCTGAACTAAAAGACTGGGATATGAGTATATCTACCTGTTCATGTAATTAAATAATTTCATGTCAATGGATGTTAAAATCACTATTAAAAAAAACATGAATTTGGAACAAAAAAATCATTAAAGTTATTTCTGACAAGTCAAATTTCTATGAATTCCATAAAAAAAAATTATGTCATTGCAAGTTTATTTAAACATTGAACAACAAGATTCAAATTTATGCCAATGCATGTTTAACCACTATCTAAGGGGTATTCCAGAAGTTTTTATCGAAATACCATCAAATATAGCTAGGAGAAATATTTCTGACAAGTCAATTTTCAATTGGTACTTTCAAAAGTTATTCATTAGAACTTGATGTTTTTTCAATTTGGAACATTAATCAACAAAGATTCAATTTTTGAGATGATAATTAGTTAATTAAAGAAATAGAAGAGTACCTTGAAGACAAAAAAGGCAGCAATTAAGAGGAACACCAAATATGGAAGAGAGGACCTAGACCTTGATGAATTTCTTGATGAAAATAATGCCATTTTACTAATTTGATCTTTGAAAACTCTTGCATTCTTGTTTTTCTATTACTCATAATATAATCTATAAAAATATTGGATTTTTTTTGTTCATTGATTAATTAGTAATTTATTTTTTTCATCTTTGGTAGTGGGAACATATTGGTAAACAACTATGTCCATTCCTTCTTTCTTGCTGGCTTCAATCATCATCACCTAATTTTTTTGTGGTCAAATGTTCATATTTAAATATAATATTATAAGTATCTTTTTTGTACTTTTAATAATTAATTAGTATCATGTTGTTTTAATATTCTTTTCTTTACAACATGGAATATGCTATTTATGATATTTAATATTGCACCGCCTCTCTTCCACATCATGACACGATTTTTTTTTATGTATTTATTGAGTTAATAATAACAAATTTTGCTTTTTTCATTATTGATAAATTTTAATTTTCGTCTTTGTACTATCTGACTAAGCTTATTTAATCATTAATTATTTCTTTATTTGTAGTACTTGCTATCTCATGAAAAATTCTATTCAGAATTAGTGAAAACCTTACGTGCTTTCGGAAAAATAGAATAAACAAGACATGGAGGAGGACTTCGATTTATTTTTCTTTGATTATTGAGTTAATAACAAATTTTGCTTTTCAGTTATTGATAAATTTTAGTTTCTAGTCTTTTATAGTACTCCTGGCTAAGCTTACTTAATCATCAATTATTAATATCTGTAGTACTCAATTATCGAGAAATCAAAACTCAAAAGTACTACTCTCCCTTAATTTTTATTTATTTATTTTTTGTGGTTGTAGGTTAGTGGGGACTCATCCTCTTACTTTTTAATAAGATAAATAATATTTTTTTAATCGTGTTTGACTTTGATGCATATTAGTTCCCACATGAAAAAAAAAGTTCCAAAAATGTCAAATGTTTTTTTTTTTTTATACATATTGGTGAAAAAGAACATAAGGTTATATTTCTACCTAATATACATGTTAATTGACAAAGTTATTATTTTATTTCAGTCATCAAAAGTCAATTTGAATTAAATAAAACTATTGCCCGCTAGATAATTACAGCTTAAAAATAATAATTAATTTATCATTCTACTTTTTATCACCGCAAAATGTTTGGTTTGCACTCATGTTTAATAATATATATGTTATATCGATAACAAATGCATCACTAATTCTGAATATAAAAACATAATATAAACATAAACACATTATCACAATATATGTTATATATGTAACAAATGAATCACTAATTCTGAATATATAAACATAAAACAATGCAGCATATTATCACAATATGTGTTATATAGTCAACAAATGAATCAATAATGTAACACATTATCCCAACAATCTATGTTACATAGATAACAAAGGTATCGCTAATTCTAAATAGGATAGATTTTCCTGAGGTAGACTATTTGCTACCAAAGGAAAATCATCCTTTTAAGAGTTCACACTACATTAAAAAAATCAAACCATAATTGCGAAAACTTAGATCTAACTAATACTTTAAAGCTAATCAATTGTGGTAAAAATATCACATATGTTAGCAATCTTCCTTTGATGTACTAGTCTCACCATTGACAAAGTTGTTCGAGGTAGTAGTTTCACAATTGTCAGAGGTAGTAGTCTCACCATTGACAAAGTTGTTCGAGGTAGTAGTCTCACCATTGACAAAGTTGTTTGAGATAGTAGTCTCACAATTGACAAAGTTGTTCGTGTTATATTGTAACTCATAATTACCTACAATGTATTGATCAAATGCATAATATTGGTCTTGTTCAGGATACTCACCATAATCGCTTCCAAAACCTTCGTTGTTCATGGTGTAATCATGTTCGATTGAGTTGTTGGTAGCTATAGGTTCGATCATCAAAGGTAAAGGGGCGCCATCAGTATAATTGTTGTAGTGATCAGATACATAATTTTGATAGTTAGACAAGATTGGCATGTAAGAGTATTGAGGTAAGGTAGAAAGCCCCCTGTGAACTTGAGGGTGCAATGACATTGCATGATTGTAGTTGTTATTAAAGTTTGTGAGATCGTTTCTCATAGAGTCCTGATTTGTACCCTGGAAAAACATTGATGCTTGATTGTTGTTGTTATTGAAGTAGTTTGTGGGATTGTTTCCAGTAAGGTCTTGATATGTACCCTCGGAAAACATTATTGGATGATTGTTGTTGTTATTGAGGTAGTTTGTGGGGTCGTTTCTAATAGGGTTTTGATCTGTACCCTCTAGTAACATAATTGCATGATTATCGTTGTTATTGAAGAGGTTGTTTCCAGTAGAGTCCTCATGAACTTCATCAATAAATGGATCATCATTTCCCCTCTTTCTCTTTCTTCTGGTGGACCTTGTGGTAATTACATCATTTTTATTGTAGAACCTACACAAAACCCATTCATCCAGCTGCAAGAAAAAAAAAAGAACAATTAAATATAAGAATAAAGTAAATAAGAAAACCACATATACATTCAAGAACTAATTAATACAAAACTATATCGTGAGATAGTTTAAGTAGTGTAATACGATATTTAAGTGATTTGATTGAGTAAATATATCGAACGTACCTTGGGATTTCTGGGTGTAGAACTATTTGGAATTGGAATTTTAGGAATCATATATTCATGCATAATCCAATCAGTTTTTTTTCCTTTTGGAGGCTTTCCAATGTGGTAAACTAAAGCTCTTCTTGATCCAATTTTACTATTTTTATCATCATTTATACTTATATCTGCTCCAGTAGCTTTCCAATACCCATTCCCAGTACATCTATCTGGTCTTTCACCATTTGGATACTTCCGATCTCTTGGAGTAAATACATACCATACGTTCTCCGCTGTCGTTGGCTTAAGATATGCTGCGAAAAATAAAAAATTGCAAATAACTATCAATGTATTTTAACATGTTATATTATTATAAACATTACACGCATGAAGGACATATAGTATTTGTTGAAACAGACTTATTAAAGGAAAACAAATGTTGGTTTAAATTATTACCTTAAAAACATGATTAGATAATAAACTACATCAATTGGAAACGCTAACACAAACCCTAAACAAGATTGAGTCGAAAAATTACATGAAGAAAAAAATAAAAATAAAACACATAAATCCTAGTTAGTTATCTTCAACAAAAATCATGAATAATCAAGAGGCCGATGCAACATTATACGTACCGTCGTTGTCGACTTAGGATAAATATATGCTGCGAAAAAATAAAAATTGCAATAACTATCAATGTATTTTAACATGTTATATTATTATAAACGGTATACCTAGCTCAATGACATCATTAATATAAACTTTAATGTAAATTTATATATGTTATACAATCAGATTGAACGTATTTATGAAAAATAATACACGAAAACATATAGTATTTGTTGAACAAAGACTTATTAAAGGAAAACAAATATTGGTTTAGGATATTATCTTATACATGATTAGATTAACCTGAAATCTTTTGAATAAAAAATTGCAATAATTGTCGATGTATTTTAACATGTTACATTATTATAAATGTTACACCTAGCTCAATCACATCATCAATATAAACTTTAATGTAAATTTATATACTGATCATCCAAAAAAATTGAACGTATTCACAAAAAAAACAAGATCATCCAAAAAAACATTGAACGTATTCACAGAAAAACACAAAGACATATAGTATTTGTTGAACCAGACTTATTAAAGGAAAACAAATATTGGTTTAAATTATTATCTTAAACAATGATTAGATTAACCTGAAATCTTTTGAATAAATAAACTAAAACCCTAACACAAACCCTAAACATGAGTGTATCGATAAAATACATGAAGAAAAAAACCCTAACACAAACCTAAACAAGATTGTATCGAAAAATTACATGAAGAAAAAAAAACACATAAACCCTAGTTAACTTATTAAACAAAAATCACGAATATAATCAAGAGACGGATTCAAAATTTAAACGTACCAGCAATCGTGTCGGGATCATACTTATAAATATTCATCTCATAAATCTTATTAGGTTGCAAAGGCAAATTAGCAAGCTTCCTCTCCAAATAATACTTAATTAGCTCATAATCCGTAGGATAAAATCGAAAACCTGGAGGAAATCTTTTCATCAAAGCTTCAACATCTTCAGTAGACATAATTTGATCACCATTACTGTTCTTATTACTAAACACAGCACTAATTGGGAGCTCATTTATATGATTAGCACTAATTAAATTATCTTTGGACACATTGTTTGTAGGAGATGTGTTATGGTTTTCCATGGACTCTGTAACTTAAAACCTTAATTGGCTAATTAGATGGAAGATGCTAATAGTAATTAAAAATCTAATTAACAGGAAGAAGAGTTTTTATATTATCAAAATATTGTTTACGAATTACTATGGGAAAAGGATTTGACTAATATGAGTTGTATTAAGTTTAGATAAGTACTAATCCTACTAAGATATTTTTAACTACTTTGATTGGATGAAATATAATTTGAAAATTAATCCAAAATATTATTTTAATTGAAAATTTTAAAAACCATGTATTTGCGGATTAATAATTTAAATAAAACTCGTTATATTATGCACATTCTATCAAATAAAGCAACTAATCTAATATTACAAAATTAATTCTACGGATAAATATTGTATATAATTTTTAAGATTTATATTTCTAACTTAATGATTGAAGACTTTACCAAAAATAATATTTGGGGAAAAAACATTGTTATCAAGTATCTGACGTATCATGCAAGTTAAACTACAAAAAAGCACAATTTGTGGTTTGGTTTGATTTTGACGTTGAAATAAAAACTCGATCATTTTTTATTTAGTTTGACATTAATAAGAAAGATGTCAAGCCGAGTTCAAATCAAATTGACGTAATATATATATAATTTAATTTTTTTATTACACAAAAATATATTGATCATAATCTACTTAATAGTTAGTAACATGACTAAAAATATTGACAGGTGCTATGTCTTTGCCTTATTTTTCTATACATGTTTTCCTAACACAATATTTTGGAGATGTCATTTATATTTTATTTTTTTCTAATTTTATTTATTTAAATGTATTCGAAACTTAAAGTGCTGCATTAAATCATATGATCAAGGGAACAAACTTTTCGATATGAGTATGGTTCATTAGGTCATTACGCACATAAAAGTTTGAACCAAAAAAATCGGTCGATAGTATTTCAAAAGCTTATGGACTAACACATACGGAAAAACTGAGAAAATCCTAAATTTTTGTTTTGTGATCCCTAAATGCTATAAAAAGTGGTATAGATCATGTAGATGCTATAAGTATGATTCACTAAGTCATTACGGATGATTCAAAAAATATTTGGGCCAAACAAAGTCGACCAATAATCTATATATATATATTACCTTAAAAGCATGAACTCCTAACTTGAATGTTAAATTACTATAATATACCTAACTTAAGTTGTGCCTTTTTCGATGAGTTGTGACTTTTCTGATAAGTTGTGACCTTTTTCAAAGGGTTTTGATTTTTCAATGATTTGTGACTTTTCTGATAAGTTGTGATTTTTTTCAAAGGGTTGTGATTTTTCAATGAGTTGTGACTTTTTTAAAGAGTTGTGACTTTTTCAATAAGTTGTGACTTTTCCTAAGGATTGTGACTTCTTGGAAAGGTCATTACTTTTCATGTAAGACACAAAAAACACTTGTTCATACTACCCTTTATTGACTATAAATAGAGGGGTTTCCTCTCATTTTCAACCACAATATTTTTAATCTTCTACTCTTCTTCTTCTTGCATTTTAACTACTCTTCTTCTTCTTGCATTTTAAAATATTTGGGGTGACTTGTTATCTTTGAGTGAGATCGTAGTTTAGCGGAATAAGAGGTACCACTATTCTGAAGAAGTAAATTGTTCTATCCTAAGAGAGTATATTCTTTAACCTCGAGTACTTGAGGAATATAATTTTGATGATATAATAATTATTTTTTTACTAAGTCTATACATGAGTATGTAATGTTCCAATATAGGAAGTTAACATGTAGTTTAAATTCATTTGTTTTTATTAATAATTTCTCTTGTGATGTAGATATATGCTTTTGACTATCTTTTTCAAAAATTATTAAACTTCTCAAGAGTTAGTCAATTGTCACGATTTGTTTTTTGACGCTCAATACAAAAGTAACTTTATTTATCAATGCTACTTATGTGATTTAGATTGTCAGAAAATTTGCTTCAAAATAGTTATTACTATATAAACATTGTTCTTTTGTTCTATTGATTTACTATTTCTAAATATTTAAGTATTTTCGAGGAAGAAAAGTTTATATGACTTGTAATAACGCCAGTTGAAATTTGTATTAGTTTAATTTTTATTGTAGTCTAAATTCATTTGTTTGTGTTAACAATTTCTCTTGTGATGTAGATATATGCTTCTGAATATCTTTTTCCAAAATTATTAAACTTTTCAAGAGTTAGAGAATTGTCACGATTTGGCTTTTTGATGCCCAAGACAAAAGAATGACTTTGTTAATCAATGTTACTTATGTGATTTAGATTATCAGGAAATTTGCTTCAAAATATTTATTATTATAGAAACATTGCCCTTTTGTTTTACTGATTTACTATTTCTTAATATTTCAGTATTTTCAACGAAGAAAAGTTCATGTGACCTGTAATAACGATAGTTGAAGTTTGTATAAGTTTAATTTTTATTGTAATATAAATTCATTTGTTTTTGTCAATAATTTCTCTTGTGATGTAGATATATGTTTGTGAATATCTTTTCTCAAAATTATTAAACTTCTCAAGAGTTAGAGAATTGTCACGTTTGTCTTTTTGATGCTCAAAACAAAAGAATGACTTTATTTATCAATGTTACTTGTGTGATTTAGATTGTTAGGAAGTTTCAAAATAGTTATTACTATGTAAACATTGCCCATTTGTTTTACTAATTTACCATTTCTTAATATTTCAGTATTTTCGATGAACAAAAGTTCATATGATATCTAACAACGCCAGTTGAAGTCTGTATTAGTTTAATTTTTATTATTTATTTAATAGCTAATTTTTATGAGATATATATTTTCATTAAATATGCAAGCAAGAGCAGATACAACTTTCAGTGACTTCTTGTTTCGTATTGGAAATGGACAAGAAACCACAATAAAGGATAATTTAATAGCATTTCCAGAACAAATGACTGTCCAACTAAATCAGGATAGTAATCTAGAAGAATCATTGGTCAGGGAAATATTTCCATTGCTTCATCAAAATTACAGATCTGCTGACTATATAACAGAACGGGCAATCTTATCAAGTAAAAATGAATTTGTAGATAACCTAAATGAAATGATGATTGGAAAATTCCCTGGAGAAACCAAAACACATATCAGTTTTGACTCAGCGAAAGATGACACCAACAACAACTATCAAGAAGAATACCTCAACACCTTAACACCAAATGGACTCCCACCACATAGGTACATTATAAAATCCTTCTAAACTTTTACAGATGTCTTATTATGTTACTTCATAGTGCAAAAGAGAAGTCAACAATTGCGTGCTTACAAATACATAACAATTAATGAATCTTTACATTGTACAAATAAGGTTAGTGCTGAAAGAAAATGCGTCCATCATGATGCTGAGAAATTTAGATCCCTTAAATGGTTTGTGCAATGGGACACGATTAATTTGTTGAGGATTTGACAAGAATGTCATACATGCCGAAATAACAACAGGACAATATGCGACAAAACAAGTGTTTATTCCAAGGATACAACTATCACCACCCGAGAATGAAGGATATCCTTTCAAATTTATTCGGAAACAATTCCCAATACGTCTATGTTTTGCGATGGCAATAAATAAAGCACAAGGTCAAACAATACTGAATGTTGGATTATACCTACCACAATATGTTTTCTCACATAGCCAGCTGTACGTAGCACTAGCTAGAGGAATATCTATGGCAAAAACAAAAGTATTGGTCATGACTGAACAACCAGATCGGCACAAAGGGACGTACACAAGAAATATTGTGTACAAGGAAGTTTTAGGTGAGATTTGACTACTACTAAGAATTGGAAGAAATCAAACATGGAAAAACATACACAAATTGAAGCAAATGAAAGATTAATTGGATGTATTCAAAAGTTTGGCGGAAGAAGAGACTATATGAACAACACCAAAGAACTACGAAATATGACATTACTGTTGTGTAGATTCAATTATGTAAATATACAGTTAAATTATTATACACTATTTCAAGGGGACGTGTTTTTCATGACATAACATAACTAACAACTCAAACTGTTAAGTCCTGCAGAATTATTTGCAAACAAATGTTGTAACAACCAATTTATAATACGACCCTCGCCCATACATGTGTTACAACACAACACAAAGTTGTGTGACCCGTCACTAAATACGGCGTACTGAACAATAAAATACAAAGTCATATTATGTACAACTGAAATACACATTATCGATAAACTTCTCCATATATAGGGATGTCAAGACTTGGCATACACATCGAATGCACGGCCACCTCACGTTACCATACACCTTTGCCCATTAACAAAATATTTCACAAATAAACATGACTTCCAAAGATCACATCATGGACAATCACCAGCGACCATACGCCAACAAATTACCTACTCGCTAACCTCTCTCTAAAACGAACCAGCGCAGATTCAACAACATACAAACTGCTAGTATCACAACAAACATCCAAATTCACTAATAAATGAATAGTTATGCCCTGTTACTGCCTTAGAATATTAGACCTTCCAACTCGCGTTTGCGAAATTCAATGACAGATCATCAAATGGTCATGAAACACTCCCAGAAGCGCCACAGGGGTTGTCAAACACAACAGGACAATATGTGACTATTACTTTATACGATCCCATATCTCCAAAAATAGAGCCGCCCTTGCAAAAGTAAAAAAATAATATATCCTTGCACCTGCAAAGAAACGGTTCCCACAAAGAAGTTCGCATTTGCGACTAAAACACTGCCACAATGGAAGACAGGTTACAATGAAGACCAAAGCTGACTGTGGCAAATAGAGTAGGAATACATTTTAATGGATGAATCAACCTCAAGACGAGGCAACCACGTGCAACGCACATGCGGTAAACCTAGTATGTTTCAAAATTCATGAACTAATATACACGAAAAACTGAGAAAATCTTAAATTTCTCTTTCGTGATCACAAAATGCTAAAAAGAAGAAGAAGAAGAAGAAGAAGAAGAAGAAGAAGAAGAAGAAGAGAGGTG